CCACAGCTCCTGCTGCATCCCCCACCTGCGTGACCATGGAGAGGCCGATGAGGCAGCAGACGATGCAGCAGAGCGCAGCGGTGACCTCGCGGCGCAGCAAACCAGCCTCTGCCTGGGGGAACAGGTCCAGGATGCCCGTGATGAAACCTTCCACACCGACAAACTGTGGCAGAGAGCAGGGCTCAGAGGGTTATGTACCACCCTGCCCCCTCCCTGTCCCCATCCCCTTGCCCGCTGCCGCACCTGGCTGTCCAGCCCCAGCACGAGGAGCATGAAGAAGAAGAGCGTGGCCCAGAGTGGGGACAAGGGCATTAGCGTCACAGCTTTAGGGTAGGCGATGAAAGCCAGCCCAGGGCCTGTGGGAGAGCAGGGTCAGCACTGCCACCCCGGGGGGGGACACACAGGGAACATGGTGCTCATGGGTACCTGCTGCCTGGTACTCACCAGACTCAGCCACCTGGGAGATGTCCACGCCTTGCTCAGAAGCCATGAAGCCCAGCACAGAGAAGACAACAAAGCCGGCAAAGAAGCTGGTGGAGCTGTTGATCACGGCCAGGAGGTAGGCATCCCTGCAGGCAGAGAGGGTCAGGGGGTACCAAGGGATACCAAGGGGACATGCATGGGAATACCCCACAGCCAGCACAGCCCTACCTGTAGCAGTTGTTGTGGAAGCGGTTGTAGCTGCCCAGCGCAGTCAGGGCTCCCAGCCCGATGGCATAGGAGAAGAAGATCTGGGTGCCAGCATCAATCCAGACCTGACGTGAGAGAGAGGGTGTTAGGGGATGAAGAGGGTGCTGGGGGGGTGCCCAGCACCCAGTCCCCTCCCGTGCTACCCACTGCCCTCACTTGCGCCTCAGCCAGCTTGGACCAGTCGGGTTTCAGGTAGAAGATAATGCCATCGATTGCCCCAGGCAGAGTCACTCCGTGCACCAGAAGCAGAATGAGGACCACGTAAGGGAAGAGCGCCGTGAAGTAGACGATCTGCAGAGGAGTGGGTGCCAGTAAGATGCCCTGGGCCAGGGCTCTCTGTCATGTGCCACAGGTGTCCCAACAGGATCAGGGCTCAGTTATGTCCCCAGTGGCACCTCCCAGACACATGTGGGACAGGGCGTCCAGCACCACCGAGGGCTCCAGCACAGGAGGGCAGGAGCTGGCAGTGCCACATGCCACAGCCCTATCCCCGTGTGCTGGTGGCCCCGACGTGTCTGTCCTCCCCCAGCATCACCTTCCCGGTTGACTTGACACCCTTCCAGATGCAGAAGTAGACGATGACCCAGGTGGTGATCAAGCAGAGGATCATCTGCCAGTTCATCTCCCCTGGCTCACTGATGTCCCCTGAGAGCTGCAGCACCTTGTTCCTGCAGAGTGGGGCCGTGCTGAGCGCCAGCACGACCCCCCAGCCCCGGGCGAGAGCCCCTTGGTCCCCACACACTCACTCCCAAAACTCGATGACAGGTGAGCGCTTGTTGGCCATGTCGGCACAGCTGATGTTGAAGATCGTGGTGTCAACACTGATGTTGGTGGTGACATTGCTGCAGGGACTGAGGTGGAAGAGCTCGGTGCAATGCTCCGTGTTCCAGGAATGGCCACAGGTGGCCCAGGGCAGGGTGTCCGTCAGCGAGTGCACCAAGTAAAAGAGCCCCCACACCAGGATCATGATGTAGTAGGAGTTGCAGAAGAAGACAATCACCATGGAGGCCAGGCCCAGACCTGTGGCACAGGGAGATCAGAACACGCCAACACCCGTGGGTGCTCAGTGGGCTGGGACAGCAGCAGTCTGGGGTGGGATGGGGCAGGACGTGGGGTGCTGGTGGGGACACAGGGAACCAGAGGCCCAGGGTGGAGCTGGTGGGGATCTGGGGAGCTGGCTGCCCCAGGCAGGACAGGGGGAGCTGGCGGGGACAGGACAGAGGGAGCTGGCAGCCTCAGGAGACGTGAGAAGCTGGTGGGGACTGGCCT